TCCTTTAGCACAGCAGAAGGTGGGGGAGAAAATCAACACCCCTGAAACAACCCCCAGGACGAGGAGCTGCAGCACGGCTGCCCAGAGTGACCGTAGCTCCATCCACAGGGTCATGTCCCCACCGTGTCTCCTCCTTTCCAGCATTCTGGGAGCTCCAGTCCTGCAATCAGGTCCTGACAGAGCTGACCTGGGCACAGGGCAGAGCAGGTTGTGCTGTCTGATTGCAGCCCGGGCTAACAGCCAGCTGCTCACCATCACCAAAACCTTGATTTTTTTTTTTTTCCCCTTGGCCTGCATGGGGGGAGCGATACAGTCTTGGCTGCTGGTGAGGGGTAAAAAAACAACCACCCCCTTCCAAGCTGGAGAGAAAACGGTGGCAAAGGTGGGCTTGGAAAGAATAAAAGAGACTCAGGTATCAAGGCAATGCCCAGAGGACGGGTGGGGAGCAGTAACCCAACCTGCCAGAGCGAGCAACCAGGGCTGGTGGATCAAGTTGTGATACAAAGACGGTTACAAAAACCTGAATAAACACAGGGAGTCACCTTACCCTGGCCTCAGCTCGGGGGTTTGAGTACACAGCTGCGAGCCCGGCACTCCCTGGAGCCAGCACGGCCCCAGAAGAGATGTCAAAACCCAGAGTCAGCAGGGTGGGAGCACCCCCGGGACCCCCCGAGCCCCGTGGCTGGGAGGGGAACAGGCTGAGCCACACTGGACTCTCCTCCTGAAGCCTCCAGAGCTGTTCGTGGCTGCCCTGGTGCCCGGCACTGCCACGTCTGCCCTGGCACTGCCACCTCCACCCAGTGCCAGCCTGGAGGTTCACAGGGCACAGTGACCTCGGGCCAGAGGGAGTGACCGGTGTCGGACGAGTCTGAGTCAGGGTCCCGTGCCAGGCTGAGATGGGACCCCAGGAAAGGTCATTCCCGGGGCCCCACAGCAAACCCCCGGGGCAGCGGAGCACAAACAGATCCGTGGCTTCTCCTCCACATCCCATTCCCAGGCAGGGAAGGCGCCTGCAAGAGGAACCTGTTCTCCGCCGGGGGATTTCGGGTAAATGATATTCCTGTCTTTACCCTTCGGCAGCAGAACGCGGCAAACTCGCCGCGGGACAGCCGGGGCTGGCAGGGACAGCTCCGTCCCGCAGCGCCCCGAGCCCCCGGTACACCCCGGTAGGAGCGGGGGGCTCCAGCCCATCCCCGGCAGCCCCGGTGACCGGAGCACCGTGACCTCGAGGGGATAAACACTAATTATAAGGTTCATTATGCCGGTCCCGGGCTCCGCTCTGACACCGCCCCCGGGGCCGGGGAGCTGGGGACGGGCTGTCCCGGGAGGCGCCGTCGCTCCCCGCCCGCACCGACAGCCCGGGGGGCTCCTGCCCGCACCGACCGCCCCTCGGCCCGCCCGGCCCCGGGCCCGCACTCACGGGAACGGCTCCTCGGGGCCCGCGCCGCCCCGCAGCACCACCATGGCGCGCTGGGACTGGGATCGGAACCGGGACGGTGACCAGAACCGGGAGCGGGACCTCGCTCCGCCTCCTCCACCCCCGGCCCGCACCGGCGGCACCGGGCCCGGCACCGCCCGCTGGAAGTGACGTCACGGGGGCGGAGGCACGGGAACCCCGCCCCGGGCGTCGCGGGAGGTGGGGCACCGGGAGTGCTTCGGGGAGCCCCTGGAACCGGGGCTCGACGGCTGCCGGGCCCCATTAACCCCGCGTGAATCCCTGTTGTCCCCCGTTAACTCCCCCGTTAATCCCCGTGAACCTCCAGTTAACCCCCGTTAGAGCCCCGTTAACCTCCGTTAACCCCCGTTAAACCCCCCGTTGCCCCCCGTTAACCGCCCCCCCACCGCGGCAGTACCGGGGCCCGCGCCCTGTCCGGCGCCGTTCCCCCGCCCGTCCGCGAGGCGGCGCTGCGGCCGCGCCCCCGCCCGGCCCCGCCGCCCCACCGCGCGCAACATTTGCATGCCGGCCAATGGCGGCGGGGGGCGGGGCGCTCCGGGAGAGACGGTCCAATGACAGCGCGGGGCGGGGAGAGGCGGGGCGCGCCAGGAGCGGCGGGCCAATGGCGGGGCGGGGAGGGGCCGCG